GCTCAGCTTCCCTCTGAGTGTTGCCACACCTTTTCCCCACGAGGCATGAGTTTTCTCCACTCATGGTGGGTGGAGGTTTCACAAGGATGGACAGCTTTATCCCAGTATGTGATCCAGAGGGACAAGAGGACTGCTTAGTCTTTTATATAAGTTACCAGCGAAGGACTGGGTTGGTTCAGCCTGGGTCGATCACTATGGGGTGCTGGGATTGGCCAGGCCTGCGCCATGTCTTCACCCACCAGGATTGGCAGCCCTGTCCGAACCACGTGCAGTGGGGAGCAGTAGCTCACCAAAGAAAGGACAAGATGTTGCCATTGAAGAGAACTTACCTGAGCAGATAAAAAGAGTGATGTCCACTGCAGGGGTCCTCCGTGTCCAGTTGGTAGTGGAGCCATGAAAATGCAAGACGATCTGTGTTTCTGGCAGAGTCAACATGTGAGAATGTGACAGGAGACAGGAGGCAGAGAAGACAGGCATCTTGAGATGGTTGGTCTTATTTGAGATGAAGAAAGAAAAGAAGAAAAAGAAAAAGATTATGTCTCTGATTGGTTCTTCTACCCAAAGAAAACCTTGAACTGGACTTAAATGAAAGTAGACATGAGATAGGCATCTCAGATGGGAGAAGGAGCATAATGGGTTCTGGGATGCTAAGGAGGCAGATCTAGGTGGAAAAAGGATGCAGGTTCTTAGGGCTGGAGAGACTGCAGATTTGGGGAGACTAGAATACAAAGGAAAATCTCTTAACTATTCTGGCATGTTGCTCATAGTTCAGGATTGTGATGGAATTTAAAAATATATATTTTTATTGATTTCAAAGAGCAAGGGAGAGAGATAGAAACATCAATGATGAGAGAGAATCATTGATGGGCAGCCTCTCGCACTCCCCCCCCCGCGCCCCCCCCGCCCCCCCTCCCCCCCCCCCGCCCTGGAATCAAGCCTGCAACTCAGGCATGTGCCCAATGAATCAAACTGTGACCCCCTGAAGAGACTAGAGATGTATTAGCTCTGGGGAAAAACTTGTGTATAGGTTCTTAATTGAATTATCCAAAATGGAAGCATTTAAACACTTTTGAATTTATACCTTTTTTGTGTTAGCTTTTTAAAATAAAGTGCTTGTATTGTATCTCCAAATTTTGGAGTAATTATCTTAAAAAAAAAAAAAAAAAAAAAAAAAAAACACCACAAAACACAAACAAAGAAAAAATACTGTGACCCCTGGTTCGTAGGTCAACGCTCAACTACTGAGCCACACTGGCTGGGCTGTGATGGAATTTAAATAGACAAAACTATTGTTTTTCTTTTACTTCCACTCTCTTCTCCCCCTGCCTCCATCACCTTCTTGCAAAGCTTCATGCTCTTGCTGAGGAGGTATGTACAATTAGGCAGAAATATTCCTAAGAATCATTCATGCTCATTCCTCAGCTCCAGCAGAGGGAGGGAAACTGGGAAGGCTGGCCTCAGGTGAAGAGCCACGTGGATCCTAGAAGCCCCTTCCTTCCTCTGCCTTGCACATCCATGCACAGGCCTGCACCCCCACACTTCCCCTTCTCCTATGCAAGCAGGGTAATGTGCAGACAAGGGTACTTCGAAAGCACATGGGGAAAGGAGCAAGGTTGGCCACTTCTGAGGCCCTGAAAGATACCCCCACCAGAGGGATCAGCACTTAGCAGGACGGACAGGCACACCCCGGTGTCCTGACACCATGCTGAGCACACATCACAGAATGACCCTTTTCCTGAACAGTTGTGCGTGTGCAAACTGAATTCTATTTATAATATCCCTGATCACTTTGCCAACTTCTTCAGTTTTATTTATAGTTATTAGTCTATTCGGATTTTCTATTTCTTCTTGCGTCAATGTTGATACATTATATTAGAAAAGCATTCAATTCGTCTAGATTTTCAAAAATTTAGGCCAAAAGGTGTACCTGGTAGCAGTTCAGTAATTTGAAAAACCCTTCTTTGTCAGCGATATCCCTTTTCTCATTATAGTGTTATGTGTTTGTTTTTTTTCTTTTTTTCCCCTCTTTGAATAGATTTACCAAAGGCTATTTATTTTGTTGGTCTTGTCAGAGAAACATCTTTTGTATTTACCTCTCAAGGGTACTTCTGAGCTTTTAAAATAGCTAGAGGAAGATGATATTAGAGCAGCTACTAAATATTAGGTGTCTTTTTAAAAATGTTAAGTACTGTTTTATATAGACTAAGGTATTTTGGGGTGAAATAATGTGGTATCTAGGATTCTCAAAATTATCCAGTGTTGGGTGGGGCATGTGGGAAGCCAAGGAGCGGTTTACCCATGAAACAAAATTGACCCTGAGCTAATAATAGTCAAAGCTGGAAGGTAGGTACTTGGGAGTTCAACATCATATTCTCTCTATTTTTGAATATGTGTGAAAATGTCCATAACTAAAAGTCGGATTTTTTTTAGATCCATGTCCCACCACACATACCGAAAATTTCTAGATGGATTAAAACTCCATTGTATAAAAGGAAACGACACACACAGCCTGAAATATGTGCATGCTACTAAGTCATTATAAGTTTATGGTTTTGAGATTGTTTAAAGCCCTTAATTAAGACATTTTTTTTCTGTACTTTTACCAAAAGGAATCACAAAGTACTAAAAGAAAACATATGTAACTTTATACGTAAACTTATCCTCCAGGGCATAACAACAAAATCAGAAATTATAAAGATTTTACTGATGCAAATTTTAAACATTAGTATATCAATAAAGATCATAAATAAAAGGAAAGGCCAATCAACACACTTGAGAAAAATATTGGTAATATATAAATGACAAAGGATCACTACCGTGTTTCCCCGAAAATAAGACATCCTCCGAAAATAAGACCTAGCGCATGGAAAGATAAGCCATCCCCTGAAAATAAGACCTAGCGCAACTTTGGGAGAAAAAATTAATATAAGACACTGTCTTATTTTCAGGGAAACAGGGTATTATAAAAAGCCTTTGCAAATCAGTAAGAAAATTGTGCATAGGCAACATGGTGCATAGGCAAGACACCAAATGACACAGGTGACTGATAAATGTGTGAGAGAAAAAAAAAAAAAATGCCCAGCTAGAGTAATCAAAGAAATGCAAATGAAACAGCCAGGCCATTTCTCATGTGCAAATTGGCAGGAATAGGGTGATGCCAAAGTGTGAAGCTGAGGAGTTTGGCTGCAGTTAGTAGGCGATGGGAGCCATTGAAGGAGCAGGAGCAGGAGTCCAGGAGTCGTTTGGAGACAGGGATCTGGTGCCTCATGTGGGATGGAACGGAGCTGCGAGACTGAAGCGGGGCCTGCAGTCCTCGGTGGGAGGAGGCAGTGGCCCAGAGAAGCATGAAGCATGAAAACAATTGGGTTGAAATATCAGCAGGTCTTGATGGTTAGCAGAGAGAACAAAATCAAGATGGCCTGTGGGCATGGTGTGACAGAGGGGAGGGCAGCAGCACCGTTGAAGAAAATAGGGATGCTGGGGAGGGGGGAAGAGGAAGTCCAAGGTTTGTTTTTGTTTTTGTTTTTGTTTTTGACACTGTGGGTCATGGTGTTAGTCCAGAGTCTCATTTCTAGTGACTGGCAACCAATTCAAATGCTTTAGGCTACAAAAAAGAATCTGCTGTCTAATTACAATTGACAAGTCTTGGGTTAAAGTTTCAGGCACATCTGGGTTGGATGGTCTGTTTTTCTCCTTGTCCAAAGAGCGGACAGGAGTGGCCACAAGCAGATCCAGGCTGGCGTTCTGCCCGCTGAGCATTGGTCCTTGAGTGGCTGAATTAGCCCGTTCCTGAATGATCACTGTGATGAACAGGCTATGTCATCTGTGCTCCCTGGAGCTAGGAGGGGTGGGGTCAGCTCTACCCAAACACCATTCAAAGTGGGGGGAATGGTTTGCTAAGGGAAAATTGGGGGGCTATCCACAAAGGGGGACTGGACCTGAGCAGCAAAACAGTGCATGTCCACTACATTCTACCTCTTGGTTGTCCAAGATCTACACAGAACCCCTCCATAAAATTTTCACAGAATTTTATTTATCATAATGCAATTTTATCTCACAAAACTTAAAACAACAACAACAACACTGCCCTCTCTCTGTGTGTTTTTAAATATATATATATTTTTATTGATTTCAGAGAGGGAAAGGAAGATAGAAACATCAGTGATGAGACAAAATCATTGATTGGCTGCCTCTTGCATGCCCCACACTGGGGATCAAGCCTGCAACCTGGGCAGGTGCCCTGACCGTGAATTTAACCGTGACCTCCTGGTTCATAGGTCGAAGCTCAACCACTGTGCCACATCGGCCTGGCATAACACACTGTCCTGTCTCTGGAATGAAATGTTCCAACTTCTTTTAAAAAATATATATATATATTATTGATTTTTTACAGAGAGGAAGAGAGAGGGATAGAGAGTTAGAAACATTGATCAGCTGCCTCTTGCACACCCCCTACTGGGGGTGTGCCTGCAACCAAGGTACATGCCCTTGACCAGAATCGAACCTGGGACCTTTCAGTCCGCGGGCCGACGCTCTGTCCACTGAGCCAAACCGGTTTCGGCCATTCCAACTTCTTACTGAGTTACCACATTCAGGCCCACTTTAAGACCTTGGTGAGCTGTCTGGCAAGGTACTGAGCTAGCTGGCCCTTTATGGTCTTTCAATGTATGGCCAGGTTACAATGATGGAGGAAAAATCGGGCAACTGAAAGAACAAACACTCTCCCAGCGGACGAGGGGAGATGAGGAAAAACAACTCAGTGGTCACAAGTCCATAGCATGTTCCACACGCTCGGCCTTGGCAAGGGCCCTGTATTGGCTGCTCTGGTCCTGCTGTTTCAGACAGCGACCCTTGTCATTTGTGCTCTTGGCCACGGAGGAGTCCCCTCCCATTGGTGTGGGTTTGGTGGATGGGGAACGGTAGGAGCTAAGTATTCCCTAGCCTTTGTTTTCCAGGTTTGTGGGTTTTCTTTTTGTTGTTGTTGTGTGTGTTTTTTTTTCCTGGCAATACAATTCCCTTAATCATTAGGAAGCTTTCAGTTGATTTGCATTCAGTCATCCCCAGGGCTATTAACCAAACTAGAGACTTCACTGAAGTTATAATTCTTGAATGGAGTCCCTGGTGATGGTGTTGGGAAGCAGGAGGGGTTGTCTCTTAGCAACAGGCCTTGATACTCTGCGCATCCCAGGAGTCCATCGTTCTGTGGCCTCTATGTAGGCCTTTACCACAGGGCAGTTCAAATCCCCACTGTCTGGAGGGAGGCACAGTTCATTTGCCCCTTCCCACTCCAACTGCATCCCGGCGGAGGCTGCTTATAATGAACGCAGTGGTTGCTTCTGTGGAGCTGGGAGGGCACAGCAGAAGGGTTGCAGGAGGGTCTGGGGAGTGAAGAGCCTGACAGGCCCCAGGCGTGTCTCCCTCTGTGTTTCCAGCCTCCCTGTCTCTGCCTGAGCTGACTTTAGCTAGAAGCAGAGAACTGGCTCTTAATTATCTGACTCTCAGCCATATTGGATGACTGGCCTCAGGCAGAAAGGGCCTCTCTGGGCAGAGCAGCATTTTCTTCCTCTGCCCTCAGATGGGCCAGAGAGTGTCTTTCTTATTGGACCGAACTGAGGCCACACCCCAAGGCGGTGACCTTTTCCTACAAGTCCCCTGAAGTTCCAGCCTTGGTGGGAACATTGTCTGAGCTTCAGAAGCAGCAGGAGAGCTTAGTCAACTGCTCTGCTGCTGTGTAGCAGGGTTCCCCACTTCTCAGTGGAGGATCAGTACTGTGTACTCCCCCCAGTTCAGCTAATTCCTTCTTAGGGTCTGTTACTTTTAAAAATTCCATTCCTGATTCTAATGTCTGGAGGACTTTTTCCTGGTGCAGGTAACAGACTCATGTCCAGCTGGCTTAAACAGTGTCTGTGAGGAATCTTTCTTTATCCCTCTTCTTCTTCCTCCCTCTTCCTGCTCCTCCTTCCTCTTTCTTCTTGGATTTCAGAAAGGAAGAAAGAGGGAGATAGAGATAGAAACAACAATGCTGAGAGAGAATCATTGATTGGCTGTCTCCTGCACATGCCTGAAACCAGGGAATCAAACCATGACCTCCTTGTTTATAGGTCAGTGCTCAGCCAGGGAGCCCTGCCAGCTGGGGTCAGTTCTGCTTCTGTATGTTGGCTTCATTCCCAGGTGGTTCCTCCCAAAGATGGCCTCATCATCTTAGAAACCTGAGCCCCAAGGGATGCTTCCCTCCAGTAGTTCCAAAGAAGTTCTGGAGAAATAACTCATTAACTCAACGAGAAGATACTCATTGATTCAACTTGGGCGATATGTGCTCACTCATCCCAAGCCTCTGGTCGACCAGGCCTATATCACATTCTTACCCCTGAAGCCAGGGATGGGCCACCAACCCCCACCCAGACCACACGGACTGAGAAAATGGGAAAGGAACGATGGTTCCCCAAGGCCAAAGCAGGGTGCTCTTCTCCTGAGGAGAACAGGGTGCTGGGCTGCAAGGGAACAGACATTACACACACATACATCCATGTGGAAATGCCAGAGCACATGGGACTCAAGAACAGGTCAGGATGGAGAGGCAGAGCTGAGACTTAATGGGTTTACTGTGTGAGTTAACTCTTGGGAGGGCATCTGACTGCCAGGGGAGAAGATGGAGGCACAGGGGGCATGAAGACCTTCCATGGGGGGTGGGGGGGCGGCAAGAAGATTAGGAAAGCAGGGAGAAGAGGAGGTCAGAGATCCAAACTAGGCACCTGAATTGTCACCCATAAAGACTGAGGGGTCAGGAGGATCAGCCCAGGGGTCAAGCAGGTGAAGGTATCTGATGACAATTGAATTGCCTGGCTAGCAGGTGGGCTGTGATCTGGTGGAGCATGTGACATCAGAGGGTGGTTGGAACCGGATTGCAGGCTGTTTGAAGAAGGCAGTGAGGAATGGGGGAGAGATCCCAGGAGGCAGGGGAGGGGAGACCAGAAGCCAGAGGTGATAGGGGGATGCACAGTGGGAGTTGAGGGTGACCAGGGCTGGGATTCCAGGAAGGGTGGCAGCTTGTGCCAGAAGAGGTCTGGGGAGGACAAATATCATGACCCCTGGAGGAAAGGGCAGGCAAGGCCACTTATTGGAGACCAACGTGGCAATGAAATCCGAGGAAAGGACTAGGTGCCTGGAGTGGCGGGGATTGGAGAACAGGGTATAGAAGTAAGGGCAGGAACAAACAGTCACACAGAGGAGTATTGTCAGGTGAGGTGACATCTTGGTCACTGCATCATGGTACCAGTTGTCCAGCCTGTCTTATGGGTGTGGTTCACATGACATGGAAACAAGCATATCTTTTAAGAATTTTTTTTGAGATGTAACATGCATCCAGTCAAGTACATACAGTGCACAAATCTCAAGTGTACCAGTACAGCTGATTGTTTACATATGTATACACCTGTATCACACAAGGTTCCCTCTTTCCCCTTCCCAGTCCCTAGAGACCCCTAGGGGTAACCTCCATTCTGACTTTGTCATCTTCAATTTAGTCTGTTCTTAAACTCCACAAATATTGACTCCTATAGTCCTGCACTCTGGTCTGGCTTCTTTCATCCACGTTGTTGCATGTACCAATGGCTCCTTTTCTTACTGCTGGGTTATTATTCCATTATGAATATATGACTATACCACAGTTTATTCATTCTATTGGTGATGGGTACTTGGGTTATATCCAGATTGGACTATTATAAATAAAACGAATGTCTTTAAAAAAAAAAAAAAAAAAATATATATATATATATATATATATATATATATATATATATATATTATTGATTTCAGAGGGAGAGAGAGAAATGTCAATGAGAGACACTTCTGATGACTGGCTCCTGTACACCCTACACTGAGGATCTAGCCGTCAACCCTGGCATGTGCCCTGACCAGGAATCAAACCCTGGGACCTCTTGGTCCATGGGACGCTGCTCAACCCACTGAGCCATACCGACCTCGCAAAAAATGCCTTTTTTTTTTCCCCCCTTTCTTAAATAATTCTTATTCTTTTTCACTCTCACACATGCACAGGCCCTTGCACAGGTACCACAGCAAGCCAGCCCCCTCTGGGAGGTCAGGCCACGGGTCTCCCCTCGCCCCTCTCTCTGGGCACATGATGTCCTGGGAAAGTCAGTTTCCTCCCGGGCATGGGTATGGGGTGTGAGGAAGGGGAACAGGGATGGATACCCTTCCTAAGACTGACTCCCTCTCTTCTAGCCTCCTCACCCCTGACCGCGGGAGCCTTCCCGACCCCGCAGGGGGGCTCGCCCGCGGCCCCCCATGAGCGCCCCCGGCTGACCGGCGGGGCGGCCGCGGTGGAGCCCGGAGGCCGCGGGGGCGGGGGCGGCGGCGGCGGGGCCATGGCCTCGCTGGACCTGCCGTACCGCTGCCCCCGCTGCGGGGAGCACAAGCGCTTCCGGAGCCTGTCGTCCCTGCGCGCGCACCTGGAGTACAGCCACACGTACGAGACCCTGTACATCCTCTCCAAGACCAACAGCATCTGTGAGGGCGCGGCGGCGGCGGCGGCCGCGGCCTCGGGCTTCCCGCTGGCGCCCGAGCCCGCCGCCCTGCTGGCCGTGCCCGGCGCCCGGCGCGAGGTGTTCGAGAGCACGTCCTTCCAGGGCAAGGAGCAGGCGCCCGCCACGGCCCCGCTGCTGCACCACCACCTGCACCACGCGCCCCTCGCCCACTTCCCCGGCGACCTGGTGCCCGCCGGCCTGCCCTGCGAGGAGCTGGCGGAGCCCGGCCTGGTGCCCGCCGCCGCCGCCGCCCGCTACGCGCTGCGCGAGATCGAGATCCCGCTCGGGGAGCTGTTCGCCCGCAAGTCCGTGGCCTCCTCCGCGTGCTCCACGCCGCCGCCCGGCCCCGCCAGCCCCTGCCCCGGGCCCGCCACCGCCTCGCCCGCTTCCCCCTCGCCCGCCGACGTGGCCTACGAGGAGGGCCTGGCGCGCCTCAAGATCCGCGCGCTGGAGAAGCTGGAGGTGGACCGGCGGCTGGAGCGGCTGAGCGAGGAGGTGGAGCAGAAGATCGCGGGGCAGGTGGGCCGCCTGCAGGCCGAGCTGGAGCGCAAGGCCGCCGAGCTGGAGACGGCGCGGCAGGAGAGCGCGCGGCTGGGGCGCGAGAAGGAGGAGCTGGAGGAGCGCGCGTCCGAGCTGTCGCGCCAGGTGGACGTGAGCGTGGAGCTGCTGGCCTCGCTCAAGCAGGACCTGGTGCACAAGGAGCAGGAGCTGAGCCGCAAGCAGCAGTGAGTGTCGCGGTGCTACCGCCGCCCCCGTGGGTGTGGCGACGAGGGTGTCTGTGTGTGAGGCCATGAGCCTGGAACGATGGTGCACGTGGGGCCAACAGTGTGATGACTGTGTTTAGGACTGTGAGTCCATGGCTGTATGACCCTGTGTGCCAGTGAAGACTGTGTTTCTCTTCCTTCTCTAGTCTCCTAGCCCAGTGGTCGGCAAACCGCGGCTCGCGAGCCACATGGGGCTCTTTGGACCCTTGAGTGTGGCTCTTCCACAAAATACCCCGTGCAGGCCCCCACCTAGAATGCGATTGAAGGAATACTCTAAGTTATAACAGTGTACCTGCCTATATAGTTTAAGTTTAAAAAAAATTGGCTCTCAAAAGAAATTTCAATCGTACTGTCGATATTTGGCTCTGTGGACTAATGAGTTTGCCGACCACGGTGGACCTAGCCAAAGCCAGCTCCTGCCCGCCCGCATTATGGCACAGGTCCTCTTCCTTTTGCACACTCAGAGACACAGCCGAATTCCCCTCTCCCACTGCCCTCAAGAGATTTCCCCTGTCCACTGTATGGTTCCTGAAAGCACGCCAACACGCGTGTTTCTGCCCCCTGCCACAGCCCTCCTCCCCCTGGAGCTGCCCCTTCTCTCGCCTTCTCGCAGAACAACTCTTCAGAGTACTGCTTATCCTCCTTGTCTTCGACTTCTTTCTCTATGTTCTCTTTTGAACCCAATCTGATTGGGTGTCAATCTCCACACTCTTCTTGTCACTGACGATCTTCATGTTGCCAGGGCCAAACCATCATCTTACTTGGCCTATCAGCAGCATTTGGCACAGCTGATCTTGAAACACATTCTTTATATTTATATATATATAATTGATTTCAGAGAGGAAAGGAAAGGGAGAGAGAGAAACATCAGTAATGAGAGAATCATTGACTAGCTGCCTCCTGCAATGCCCCTCAGTGGGATCAAACCCGCAACCTGGACATGTGTCCTGACCGGGAACTGAACCGTGACCTCCTGGTTCATAGACCGGTGCTCAACCCCTGAGCCAGGCCGGCCGGTGAGACATTCTTCCCTTGGCTTCCAGGGCACTCGCCTGGGATCTCCTTCTATCGCTTTGCTCCTCCTCAGTCTTTGTCGTCTTTAAGTGTAGAATTACAAAATATGTAGATGTTATGCATCTGTCCCCATAGTGGATACAAGCTCTGTGGTGGCAGGAATGTTTCTCTGCTTATTCACTGCTGTGTCCCCAATACCTAGAACCAAGAAGGTGCTCAGTCAATGTTGAGTGGATGCATGAACAACTGTGAATGCAATTGGGAGAAAATACTCTTGTGACCCTTAAGTGTGCTGTGTGTCCATGCAACTCCTGGAGGGTGGTAGTGCCATTGGAAGTATGCTTCTGCGTCTGAGAAGGTTTCTGAAAAATGTGTGTGTGGTAGGGAGGGGGGTATGGATGTTTGAATGTGTTGGTGAGACTGTGCCTTTCTCAGACTGTGTGCCTGCGAACGACCATGTACACATACATTTGAGTGTGGGGCTATGTATTGAACTTTGCATACTTGGCTGTGTGACTGTGTGTGTCTGGAGGCAGGGGGTGGCCGTGTGTGACTGAGTATGCCTGGGGAACAGGGATGTCCAGTTGTGTGGGGCTGGGTGAGTGGGGTGTGAGTGTGTAACTCAGCACATATGCTGGCATTCCCATGTGTGCCATTGTGTGGGGCAGTGTGCCTGGGCCTGTTCTATGTGTTTCCACGTGACATGAGCAGACGCCGGGGGCAGCTGTGCCCCATGTCGCTCCCCCACGGGCCAGGGCCTCCTCTAGAGGGTGGGTGGGCAGACAGGGAGGCACCGGGGTAAGAGGCTGCTCCGGGCCCAGGGAGGTGGTGCAGATCGACCAGTTCCTGAAGGAGACTGCGGCCCGGGAGGCCAGCGCCAAGCTGCGGCTGCAGCAGTTCATCGAGGAGCTCCTGGAGCGGGCGGACCGCGCCGAGCGGCAGCTGCAGGTCATCAGCAGCAGCTGCGGCAGCACCCCGAGCGCCAGCCTGGGCCGCGGAGCCGGGCCCGGGCCCCGGGGCCCTGGCAGAGTGGTGAGTGCCCACCTCCCTCCCCTCCTCCACCTGCACACCTGACTTCCACAGACTCCCCTCACCCGTGGCCTGACATCGCCCCTGCGATGCTCCCTCTTTGACTCTTCCCCACGAGCAGGCTGAAGGCCTGAAGTAGGGGGTCCAGGAATAGGGGAGCCAAAACCAGTTTGGCTCAGTGGATAGAGGGTAGGTCTGAGGATTGAAGGGTCCCAGGTTCGATTCTGGTCAAGAGCATGTGCATTGGTTGCAGGCACATCCCCAGTGGGGGTTGTGCAAGAGACAGCTGGTTGATGTTTCTCTCATCATTGATGTTTCTAGCTCTCTGTCCCTCTCCCTTTCTCTCTAAAGCACATGTGTCAAACACAAGGCCCGCGGGCCAAATCCGTCCCGCCAGGCCTTGCAATGCGGCCCGCACCGTGCTGTCATCACTGCACTCCGCTGCGTTTCCATCACAATGACAGTTTATGACTGTTCAGTAAACCATTCGGCCTGCGATTTAGGCTGGATTTTAGATTTTGGCCCCTTCTCTGATTGAGTTCGACACCCCTACTCTAAAGAATCAATAAAATATATTAAAAAAAGAAAAGAAAAGAAAAAGAAATAGAGGAGCCCCTCTGAGGTGTCAGAAGCGAAGGCCCCTGGGCTGTCGTGAGGTGTGATTCAGAGGCCCCTCCCTGCCAGTGAGAGCCCAGGAGTCACAAGCTGGGCCCCGGGTGTGGGGTGGGTGTGCGGAGGGGGCTGGTGAGCCTGCCTCTTGGCTGTCTGTCTGTCTATATTTGTCCATCTTTCCCAACTTTTCTCCTTCTTCTCTCTCCTCTCCTCTCCATCTTGCACCCTGTTTTACCCTGCTCCTTCTCATCCTCTTGCCTCCTCTGCCCTCCTTCCCTTCCCTCCTGCTCTGGGGCCCACAGCGAGAACACCACGTGGGGATGGCCATGCCTAGCACATACGCGGTGTCCCGGCATGGCTCCTCTCCCAGCACAGGGTAAGCCTCGGGCCCACCTCCCTCCCCCAACGCAGCCCATCCGCACCCCGGCCCCCTGGATGCTGACCTGTCTGGGGGCTAGTCTCCCCTCTCCCCGTCCTCCTTGGGTCCCCTCTGTCCGTCTGCCTTTCCTCACTCAGAAGGGGCTCTTGGAACGTGGGGCGGGCGGGTTGCCCTTGGCCAGGGTTAGGGGTGAGACGGGGAGTGTGGACAGGCCCGGTGCCTCTCCCTGCTCCTTACCATCTGCTCCACCCCCCGTAGGGCCTCCAGCCGTGTCCCAGCCGCATCCCAGAGCTCAGGCTGCTATGACAGTGACAGTCTGGAGATGCCCCGGGCAGAAGAAGGGGCCCCGGAGGACAGTACCCCTGGGGGCGTGGGCACGCGGGCCCAGGCTGCCAATGGCGGCTCGGAGCGGGCTCAGGCCCCTCGGAGCGCAGGCCTGCGGCGCCAGGCCATCCAGAACTGGCAGCGCAGGCCCCGCCGGCACAGCACGGAGGGCGAGGAGGGTGACATTTCGGACGTGGGCTCCCGAACCACCGAGTCAGAGGCCGAGGGCCCCGCGGACACGCCCAGAGCCGGGCCTGCCGCGGCAGGGCCAGTAAGCAGCTGCCGGCTCTCAGGTGAGTCCCAGCGGGGTGGGCAGAGGCCGGGCTTTCCCACGGCGGTGCGGGCCCTCTCAGGGGACACAGGCCGAGGCAGCACCTCTCCTGGGCTCCTGCACCCCCTTTTCCCTGGCCCAGACTCCCCACAATGAGAACAGCACTCCCACACAGCGCCCTGCAGGCACTTGGGTAGCTAGGTGCTGACTCCGGACTCTGTGGCCCCCGGAGCAGCTGGAGGAAGGGTGCCTCCCCAAGGCCATGCCCATAGGCCGATGGGTGAGGGCCAGGAGGTGAGAGGGCTCCGGTCACGGTGTTTGACTGCCGCTGTGACTGCCCCTGCCTCTGTGCCCAGAGGCCCCGTTTCTATCCATCCACACCCTGACCTTCCAAACCCTTTCCTTCTCCAAAAGGGATTCAGTTGCCTCATCTCGGGAGTGAGTTCAGACTATGCGATGACATATTAGACATATTATCTTAAAAATAACTTACTTGAGCCAAAACCGGTTTGGCTCAGTGGATAGGGCTTTGGCCTGTGGACTGAAAGATCCCAGGTTCGATTCTGGTCAAGGGCATGTACCTTGGTTGCAGGCACACCTCCAGTAGGGGGTGTGCAAGAGGCAGCTGATGATTTTCTCTCATCAATGTTTCTAACTCACTATCCCCTCTCTCTTCCTCTCTATATATTAAAAAAAAAAAAATTCAATAAAATCTATATTTTTAAAAAATAAAAATAACTTACTTGGGGACAGTCTATCTTTCCTAATTTGCGAAATTAGGGGTGGGGTGATGCAGAAGAGAGGAATGCAGAGGCCCTTGTCTTCCTCCCAAGGCACATGGGTCCCCCATGCCCATGCCTTCTACAGCTCCTACCCTACCCTAGCTCCACACCCACATCCCCCCGCTGGCCTTTGACCCTCCATACTCACCTTTGACCCTTCGGTATTGTGCAGCCCGCTCTGAGGGAGGCAGTGGGCGGGGTCGGCGAGCAGAGCGGGGCAGCCCCTCGCGTTCCAACGAGGTCATCAGCCCAGAGATCCTCAAGATGCGAGCCGCCCTGTTCTGCATCTTCACCTACCTGGACACCCGCACGCTCCTGCACGCCGCCGAGGTCTGCCGCGACTGGCGCTTTGTGGCCCGCCACCCTGCCGTGTGGACGCGAGTGCTGCTCGAGAACGCCCGGGTCTGCTCCAAGGTGCCTACCTGGTCCTGCCCACGTCCCTGCCCTCCCCTCATCCCTGCTGTGAACTCACGCGCACGCACGTGCACACGCACACACACACACACACATTCCTCCTTTCCCAGCATCTGGTCCCTCTAGGTTTGGTTCTTGCCATCCTCACAAGACCCCACCTCTTGCCTGGTTTCCTAAAATGCTCCCATGGAGCTTCTATCCTGGGGCTGGTCCACCTCCAGCCAACCAAGTTCAGACTCCTCACCCCCGGGTCACGCCTCTCTCCCTGCAGTTCTTGGCGATCCTGGCTCAGTGGTGCACCCAGGCCCACTCGCTGACCCTGCAGAACCTGAAGCCCCGGCAGCGGGGCAAGAAGGAGAGCAAGGAGGAGTATGCCCGGAGCACCCGGTGAGGCCGGGGTATGGGGGAGTGTGGGGGGGAGGGTGCTCCTGGGCCGCAGACCTAGGATTACGTGGAGACGCTTCTCAGAGCAGGAGGTGGCCACAGGCCTCTCTCTGACCTCTTGGCCATCCCCAGGGGCTGTCTGGAAGCAGGGCTGGAGTCCCTGCTGAAGGCGGCGGGCGGCAACCTGCTGATCCTGCGCATCTCCCACTGCCCCAACATCCTCACCGACCGCTCGCTCTGGCTGGCCAGCTGCTACTGCCGCGCTCTGCAGGCCGTCACCTACAGGTGGGTCCATCCCGCCGGGAGCATCCCCAAGAGGGTCCCCTGGCTCTGCCCTGTGTACCCTTCTCCCCGGGCTCTCGGGCAGAGACCCAGGGAAGGGGGCAGAGGCCGCTGGGGAGCGTGGGAGGCCCCAGCTTTGTCTTTTCCACAGGAGCGCCACCGATCCTGTTGGCCACGAGGTCATTTGGGCCCTGGGTGCTGGCTGCAGAGAGATAGTCTCCCTCCAGGTGGCGCCGCTTCACCCCTGGTGAGCCCTGGCTGGGTGAGGAGGGGACAGAGTTGGGTGGGGTTTGGGGCTGAGGACTGAGCAGGTCTAGGGCCACTCGATCGTCTGTCTTGGGAGACCAGATTTCACCTTCCTCAACCTGTGTGTTTAGGTGTTAGGAGCAAGGCTTACTTCACATCATGTCCTGGGTACTCGAGTATGACTTTGGGCAACCCAGTTGTGCTTCAGTTGCTCAACCTGCAAAGTAGAGGTGATATTAGGATCGGTTGACCTCATTCGGACTGTTGCTGGCTCGGATGAGATGTGTCCATGAAGCCTGCAGGGCCCACAGTGAGGGAGGTGTGAGCATAGGGAGGTTGGATTGGCACGTGAAAGGCAGTTCAGGGTGGTCTGTTTATAAACGTACAAAAGAGCTGGTGCTGGTGAGTCCAGGGTGGGGTCACTCATGGCTCTCCTGGGAGCTCCTCGAACATGTCAGGCTTTTCTGCTCCCTGCACCTTGACCTCCAAGCCCCCTCTTCACGTGGCATCTCCTCCCAAGCCCTCCAGTGTCCCCTCACTCACATCCTGGGAGAATTTGTCTCTGCTCTCCTGCCTTCGTTCCTCCTGCACCTTGTCCCCACCCTGCTGTAGTCCACTTTGCAACAGCTTCTCTATATTTCAGTCTCCTCAAGACTCACGGTTCTCCGGGCAGGGGCAGACATGTGCATTCCCCATCTGTGGTGCTGGGGGATGCAGTGTGCAGGGAAACAGCCAGTTTGGTGGGAGTGGTGGGCAGAGCCGAACAGTGAGTGTGCAGAGTCAGGGAGGGGACAGGTCAGGAAGGCCTTGCCAAAGGGGCTTAGATGTTTGCATTTTTTTTTTAAATCTAGAAAGGGCTGGGAAGCAATTGGGGGTTTTAGATCTTAAAAAATGGGGTTACATCAGACAGGTAACAATTCTTTGTGCCCCTCTTCACCCCACTGTCTGCTCCTTCAGGACAGGGACTATGTCCGTATTGTCCCACTGCATTCCCCAGGCCTAGCTCAGTTGTTTGTGGCTGTTTTAAGTAGATACTTAAAACCATTTGTTGAATGACTGAGTGAGGGAATGTAGGAATGACCGGCTTACCCTCAGCGGCGGGCAGTCGAGTCACAATCCAGATGAACATTGATCTGGTCTGAACTGTAGGTTGAAGTCTTACTCAGGAACCAGAATCCATGGGTCTTGGCAGGAGATGAGGGAGGGGGAGTCAGGAATAATCCCAGGTTTCTGACTTTAGCAGCTGGGGTGATTGGTGGGGTCCCTGCCCAAAGCCTGAAGGTGAGCACTGAGGAGGAGGAGGCTTGGGGTGTCATTTCACCAGAGGCTTTCCTGACTGACCCCCTCCCTCCCTTCTCCAGCCAGCAGCCCTTGCGCTTCAGTAATCGTTGCCTGCAGATGATCGGTCGCTGTTGGCCCCACCTCAGGGCCCTGGGGGTTGGGGGTGCCGGCTGTGGGGTGCAGGGCCTGGCATCACTCGGTAAGTTTTCCTTGGGGCTAGGGTGGGGGTTAGTGGGATGCCGCATGCGATGCAGGCTCTGGGCTGCAGCCTGGGTGATAGCAGGAGCCTCAGGCGCGCAGGAGGTAACCTGGAGAGTTGGTCAGCAGCACCTGCCCTCTTCCTCTTCCTAGCAAGAAACTGCATGAGGCTGCAAGTCCTGGAGCTGGACCACGTGTCGGAGATCACCCAGGAGGTGGCGGCCGAGGTCTGCCGGGAAGGCCTGAAAGGACTGGAGATGCTGGTGCTCACGGCCACCCCCGTCACTCCCAAAGCCCTGCTGCATTTCAACAGTGAGCGATGGGAAATGCGGGGCGGGGCACAGTGTCACCTCGTGCCATGCCTTGCCAGCGAGTAGCATAACCAGCTCCCTGTCACTCCCGGGCAGCAAGCACCAGAGCTGGGGTCAGACTGACCAGGGCTCTAGCCCTGGCTTTGCCACCAGTGCCTTCTGAGGCTGGCGTGGCATTCAAGGCCTTACAGCGTGTGGCCCAAATAGTCCCGCTCAACTACATCTATTTCCCTAATCTCTCTCCGCATTGGGACAGGAGCTATGCAGCAGCATCGGCCCCCTTGGGAGTCTCCAGCCAAGGGCAGAGGCAGGAGAGCAGGCGGGTTAAGAGCATAGGTTCTGGGGCTTGACTGACCTGGGTCTCGGGTTACTCTACATCTCTGAGTTCTGTACCCTATCTTCTAAGCCGATTTTCTAGAATGAATGAGAGGATTAAATGAGATGATGTGTGTGAGCCTCCAGGGATAGTTCAGAAGGCAGGCTCCTTTCCCTGGTATAGATTCCAAGTCATGCCTCCTCTGGCCCCACTCCCTCCAGCTATCCACTCCATCTCCGGTCATTCCTCCACCTTCATAGAGGACATGGGAGCCCAGTTTGGGCTGCTCACACCCAAAAGTGAGGCCATCATCCAAAACCGTTTGACCCTCAGGTCCTGAGAGCACCAAGGTTCTCTGACCTTATTATTTCCAGGGTCCTTTTCCCCCCTCCCCTTCAGCTTCATGGCCTTGTCTGGGACTGACCACCAGCTAACGGCTCAGCCTTCAAAATCATGGCCTTCAGGACCCCCTCAGCCTCCTGGCCTTCTTGCTCCTTCTCTCCTGACCTCATGGCATCACCCAGTCCCCTTGAAGCTCCCAACTTGTTTGCTCCCTGTCTCCCCTCCTCTGGGCTCCAGCCGAGACCCATCGGCCTCACTTCCGTCCTCTGTCTTTGTAACTCACTCCCCAGTGCCCAGGCCACAGCTCGCCTGTCCCTCTGCCAGGGCAGCTCCAGAGCTCCTGCACAGCTGGTGCCACTCACCCCCCCAGAGTGCACCGCAGCCATTGCTCTGACGCCACCTTCCGCCTTCTCCGACGGCCCGGTGGAGCCTCCGGGCAGCGTGGGTCTGCTCTCCCGGTTATGATCCCAGGGCCTGGCATTTGATTGCCCCTCAGCAGGTTCTGATTTCATTAGTGATGGGAGAGGAGGCAGCCCGGCCAAACTCGAGCTCTCATCTTACCCGCCCTTTCCCCAGGCATTTGCCGGAACCTCAAGTCCATTGTGGTCCAGATTGGGATCGCTGATTATTTCAAAGAGCCCAGCAGTCCCGAGGCCCAGAAGCTGTTTGAAGACATGGTGACTAAACTCCAGGTGAGGAATTGGCTCTGAGGCCAGCCAAGACCCCATGCCCCGAGGCTGAGGCTGAGGACTTGGGGGGGCTGTGATGTGAAGAGAGCCTCACCTGTGTGCCCCTGAGGCTCTGGCCCCGAGGAGAACTAACCCAGCTTTGCTCCGCAGGCCCTGCGGAGGAGGCCCGGCTTCTCTAAGATCCTGCACATCAAGGTGGAAGGCGGCTGCTAACCCGGGTGAGGGGCGGCAGGGCCCCTGCCAGCCCCACCCAGGGCACTCTCTTTGGACTTCCAGAGGGACCCTGATTTGGACTAGTCCTTCAGAGGCCTGGCGTTACCTCTGGCTTCCAGGAAGGGGTCGACAGCTTCCTGTCCCCTCCTGGGAGAGCAGAACAGCAGGCCTGACCTTGGGAACTTCTTCAGGGCAGGGGCTCAGACAGAAGCTGCCTCTTGCCCCTCCCCAGTCCCCAGCTGGAGCAGCCTTCTGGGCACAGCCAGCGAGGAGCTGTCACCACCAGCACCCGGCGTCTTCCCCCCGGGGGTCTGCAATAACCACCAGTGGCCCTTGGCTGCGCTGGCAGGCCTCCATTCTTGAGGCCCAGCCTCCCGGTCAGGGTCCTCTGCGAGGCCCCAGGCAGGTCAGACTTGGTAAGGCGGGCTCTTCTCCTCGCCCTGCTCCGCCCCAGCCCTCTGCGGGGCACCCTGTCAGACAGCCCACCTGGGCCTGGGTCCACACTCTCTAAAAATAACACACGGGCCGAGGAATCTGGGCAAGTGTCAGCCAAAGGTGAGGCAGTGGCAGTGGGCTTGGAAGGGCAAAACATTCACCAGGATTTTCTTCCCAGGACATGAAAACCATCTTTCCCAACGGAGGGTATTGCCAGGAAGAAAAAAAAAAAATTCTATTCATATAGACAAGACCTCCCTCCCCCAATAACCACATTTCCCACATATCCAGGAGCTAATCCTGAGCTAAAAGGTGCATGTTTCCATACCTGTCAGCAATCCCAACCCAGTCACCTGTGAGAAGCAGGTGTTTTTTTTTCTCAAGAAATGGCCTTTTTAAAATTTATTTATTATTAAATGTATTTTTATTGATTTCAGAGAGGAAATGAGAAACATCAATGATGAGAGAGAATCATTGATTGGCTGCCTCCTGCACGCCCCCTACTGGGGGTGGGGTTGAGCCTGCAACCCAGGCATGTGCCCTTGACCAGAATCGAGGCCTGGACCCTTCAGTCTGCAGTCCGATGCTCTATCCATGGCGCCAAACCGGCGAGAGCAGGAATGGCAGTTAATCCAGGTGCTTGGGCAGGTCTCTGATGGCCTGTGGATCCCCAAGGCTGTGTGGGAGGAAGTCAGTCACTGGCTGACCTCTCTATGGGGGCAGGGGAGGCTGGAGGAGGCTGGTTTGGTTTGCTTCCTTGTCTGGCTAGCTTGCTTAAAGATGTAGCCCTTTAAGGAAGCTAGGCCCATCGAGCCAAGAATGAAGAACACCCTCATTGGACTTGTCCCCCTCCTCCATCTCATCTGGTCACATGGGCTAAGGGCTCTATTGGGAGTTTTCTGCCTGGAAGTAGTTCTGAGGCCCAAGCCAGAGCCACTTGGCTTAGAAGCCACAGAATGGATGCAAGTGGGGTTTCACTCACCCTTATTCATGGTCCCCACAGGACCAGGTCCAGCACTAAGACTCAGGTCTCCCCCGTTCCTCCTCGGAACTCCCACAGAGGCTGAGGTCGTGGGTCCTGCCAACCTTCATTTGGAAAGTTCTTCCATTCACCTAGATTTGTCTTAGGGTTTTCTTCTCTCCTGCACGGGACTGGCTCTCAGCCCTAACCATTAGGCAGCTGGTGTGGCTAGGGTAGGATTCCTCCAATTTCTCAGTTCTTTCCAGGGACCCAACTTTCTGCAACAACCTAGCTTGAACATCAAGACCCAGCCCTGGGTTACCCTGCAGTGAGGCCTCCAGAGCTGGGCCCCACAGACTTAGCGGTGCCCCCTGCTTCCCTGGCTCTTCCCTGGCCCTGCCCTTTAAGACACCAAATACCAAGGGTGTCATGTTGTAAACTCCCTGTCCTGTCCTGCACGAAGCTTTGGCAGTGTGGTATCTCCACTCCAGAGCAGCTGGCTTTATTGACTCCTCCTCAGCCCTGGCCCCAGGAATCATGGGAAGAAGCACAACTCCGCTGGCCTAGAGGGAGGTGGAGGCCCACTTAGTCTTGGCTGCCCTGGATGCATCAAGTCCTGCCTTCCAATTGCACCCTCCAAAGTCCTGCTCCACGTGACCCCAGGATCAGAGGTGCTTCCTCCCTGGCTCCTGAACAAAGCACAAAGGGATGCCCTGCTTGGCCAGAGCCTGCCCTACCCGGTCCTTTTCTGCCCCAGGAAGCCTCTGTCCCTGTATACAGGCTCCAGGCAGTTTCTCCCTGGGTGGGTGCCCACTGGGATGCCCAGCCTCAGCCCTGGGAAAGGAAGTCAATGCCCGGGCAGTGAACTGAAGTGGGAGAAAGGCGGTGATGAAAGGACTTACGTCAGTAGTAGTTTATTCACTCATTTGTGTGACAGCCCTGCACACCACCAGCACCAGGCAGCAGAGTGAACAAGACCCCCCCTCCTGCTGAGAGGAAGTTTGCCTCTCACAGGTTTGGTTGTTCCCAGAAAATTTCCCAAATCCAGCCAAGGGAAGGATGTGTGGGTGTATATGTTATATTGTATGTGCCTAGGCCCCCGTGAACAGGAACGTGTTATAGTGTGTCCTATTGCACACCTGCCCCGGGGCTGGGAGACGTGTGTGGCTGAGAACTGGCACGTTTGCAGGCCTCCGCCCACACCAGCTCAATGCTATTTTTTGTTTCTCTTCAGGGGGGTGAGCCCTGCTGCTAAGGGGGGAGCTTTTGTTGGTGAGAATGCTCCGTTTGTTCACTTTGGCAACCCTAGAGCTGGGGCTGACGACGGGGAACGGGTGTAGGGCCATCCACGCCCCTATCTCACACCTGCAAGATGAAAAGAGGAGGTTTCAAGAGCAAACCAAGGCAGGTCCTACTCCAGGGGCCCAGGCATGTACAGGGGGCCCATGGGTGGGGACCACTTGGTACCACTATCACCTTCCTGCCATACAGTCTGAACCGAGCACCTGGGGGACTCTGAGCACTTGGATTGCGTGTTTGGGCATGCTTTATTTGGGCTGCCTCCTCTGCGCTGGCAGGGAACAAAGGAGATGCTGTAGATGTCTGCATCCCAGAGGGAGGCACAGGCTGCCCAGAACCATGGCTTTTAACTGCCAGCTGAGACCATCGAAGGACCAAGGCAGCTCAGGTATTCCTAGTCCAATGGAGTTTGAGCCAGCCCCTCAGGAACTGCCTAAGAAAAAGAAAAGCCGCCTCCTTCCTGTCTGTGGCTCCATCCTTTGTCTTTGGGTCCTGCCTCTAGTCCTTTGGGCCATAAGTGGGGAGCTGCCCAAGTCCTAGTCCTTTTAAGGCGCTAAATGGAAGACCTTAACAGTGATTGTCGGTGCCAAAGACCCAGTTCCTGCTGGACTTGGGGTGATAATGGGAGATATGGTGAGCGGGTGCAGGGCCCTTGTGCTCAGAGGGTATCTGTCAGCTGATGGGATCTGTCCCAGCATGTCAACCCTGGTGTTACTTCTCTCTAGCCCTGCTGGCCATGCTTGCTCACCCAGCCTTGTCCCAGGCCTGCATTTCTGTATATATTGCTGTGTATCGTGTGTATGTATTTATTCCTGGACAGGTGTGGTGTTCTGCAGCCTTTGCCTGAGAATAAGGTGTAGAATTGGGTGGAGATCAGAAATCAGAATACCAGGGCCAACTAAGGCAGCCAGCTCCTATTCCCTCCCCACACCCCTGGGAACCTGGCCAGTCCCAAGACCTCTCTGACAATCAGGCAGGCCCAGCCTCACCTGCCACCACTGGCATGGCCCCAAGGAGGCTTGGCCTTGGCCTTCCGGACTCAGCTCTGCCCTGGCAGGGGTGACCCAGGCTTGCCTCCTGGCTGGCATGAGTAGGTGTGGCTCGTGGGCACTGCTGGTGGGGACCTCCACAATGGAGCCCCAGGCCCTGCCTTCCCTGCACAGCCAGGCTGCAATGGGCCTGAGCCATGAGAGGGTGGCTCACCCCCCCACCCCCCAAGCACATCAGGCAGAGGAGTGGAGAGCATTTTCCGATTTTGTTTCAGTGGTGCCTGTACCTCCAGTCCCCAGGGGCCTTCAGTGGCCCCTCTTCTCTGCCACACCAGGCATCACCATCCCAGCACTTTGCTCCATGTCACCCATGATGCCCTTTGCTGAATGTACCTGAGTGTATGTATTTAAGAGGACTCACACAGGCATCAGAAAATTTATGGCTTTGTATCCAATAAAAGATGGTGAAACTGGAATGTCTGCCTCAGGGCAATAAATGGTAGGTGGCCATATTTGTTGTCTGTGTCACCAAGCCTTTCTGCAGCTGAAGTGCACTGAAGCAGGAAAGAGGTGGGTGGCCAGATTGGCATCAACAGGGTGAAGCATCAGAAGACCAGTCTCTGGACTGCAGACGTCACTGGAGCAAGGCCATGCAGGTCACTGCCCCTGCCACAGCTCACTCCCTTTCCATGTCTGTATGTGGACAGCAAGCCTTGGGTGCCATTTCTGACTCAGCCAGGAGAGACAGGACAATTCCAGCACAAGGACAGCAAGAGCAGCAGGCACTGCCCAGTCTCTCACTGGCCTGGCCACATCCTCAGGAGGCTCTCATCAGCCAATCAGGCTTCAGCCTGAGGGAGAGACCAAATTGCCCAACATGTGCTGGCTTCAACTTCCCTATTTTACCCAATGGGATTGCCCCACCAATTTGATTACTCAGGTATGAAATATTAAAAATCAGAAAAACCAACAGGTGTTCATACTTAGACTGTGTGGCTCTAGCATCAAATAAGTAGATGAGCACTTATACCCCTGTTCCTATCTTCATTATACATCTAGAACATCCGAGATTCGGAAAAATTAGTTTATACAAAGACTATCAAGATAGGAGGATACAGGATTCTAAAGTCTGGATCATACCATATTTCACCTTTGAGTCCATCTAACTGGGAATGGTTGGACTCAGGATTTCAAAACAAAACAAAAAAAACACACCAACAAATAAAAATCACACCTGGTGGATGTGTCTCTGTAGTTGAACGTCAACCTATGAACCAGGTTAGGGTTTGATTCCCAGTCAAGGCACATGCCTGGGTTGCGGCTTGATGCCCAGTAGGGAGGTATAGGAGGCAGCCAATCAATGAATCTCACTCATCATTGATTTTTTTTTCTCACTTCCCTTCCTCTCTCTGAAATCAATAAAAAAAAAACTATATTTAAAATCATTTCCCAATATTAAGCAGTAAAAGTGTCAGTGGTTCAATATGACTTCCACAAGGACCAATGACAGCTAGCTGCAGGCCAGACCTCAGGACTAGCACAAACAAGGGGCAGTTAGAACCTGCTTTCCAGTAGATCTGTGCTGGCCAACTCAAACTTTGTCCTCAGAAAGAGTTTGAGACCGGGTGGGTGCTCCTTCAGCCACCCCCTCAACGGACTGTTAAGAAGTCACTACAGTTAAAAAAAAAACAAAAAAAAACTGATCTAAGACATTTCTCCAAGAGCCCTCAACCTCAGGATCTTGACTGAGGGACCAAAAGATGGAACCAAGAGAATATGGAGTAGAGGGGCAGACAAGGCCAGGTAGCACATTTACTCAAACCTAGAGAAATCCTAGGAACAGTGCCATGGCTAGGTAAGATATATTTGGATGAACAGGAAGCGACTCCACATCTCGCAGCCACTTCTGGGACTGAGAAAGATACCAAAGTGAAACTTCGGGACCTGGGCCACTCGGGGGGAGCTCCCGCAGGCAGTGCTGCACACTCGGCCTTAGCAGCGACCAGAGGCTATTGAAGACAGCCCAGAGGGAAGAGAATTTTTCTACCTTTTGGGCGAGTACATACAAAATTAAAATCCAAGCTGCAGTGAACACATATATGAGTAAAACTTCTGTCCCCAAGTAATTTCCAAAGTGAACTGGAAGTTTATTTAAATAGCCACCAGTTAGAACAGGGTGGGCCAATTCCTCCCTACCCCGTTCTCATACCAATTAGCCAAGACCAAACAGGGAGAATAAG